CAGGCCGAAAACACACAACATTTTTGTGGACAAAGTATTGTCAGCCCTTCCAATTGTTTTTTACTAAACTACTCAACCACTCCAACTCTAAAATCTCAACACTATAGGGCAGGGGTCTCCAAACGATGGTCCTCCAGCTGTTGAAGTACTACAAGTCCCATCATACCTCTGCCTCTGGGAGTCTTGCCTGTGGCTGTCAGAGTCTTGCAAGGTCTCATGGGACATGAAGTTCCTCAACACCTGGAGGGCCACAGTTTGGAGACCCCTGCTATAGGGTCTACTCATTCTGTAATCCACGATAAGAACACATGGGACAGCTTTTGAATTCCAAACAAAATCATCTGATTATTTTGCACTTATCAAAAAGATATAGAAAAATGGTTCTGACTGTATATTTAACAGTTAAAAAGGAACAAATAAGATAAGTTAACTGTTAAGGTTTACATACCCTTTCAGTCTTGAAGGAAAATACCCACTTTGTCTAATGTCCTCAAATTTTGGACAATTCTTTACTACAGCCCTGCTACTAGTCAGTTTTCAGATCAGTTTATCATCTGTGTCTCTTAATTCTTAATGACAAAACCTTATTTTGCCTTGTGTCTTTACATTACTGCTTATTGTCCTTCATTAAAAATGTCCTGTGGATGCTGCCCAGGAATCTGTTCCGGTGATTTCTCTTTCTCCCTCTCATAAAGTGTCTCAATTGTTTATCCTCCATCGAGCATATAGGACCCCTGTGCAACTGTACCAGTGGGGCAGGCATGATTCACCTGATTGTCCAAGGTGTAGGGTCCAACAGGGAGATTTCATTTACATGCTCTGGTGCTGCCCAAAGTTACATAGAAATTGGAGTGAGGTTCTCCAGTTTATTTCTCTAGTATCGCAATATACTGTTCCCCAGGACCCCTTGCAATGTCTGCTGAGGGGAATGGACCAAGAACTGTTCCAACCAGGAGTGTATATTCTGGTATCTAGACTTTTATATTTGGCTAGTAAGTTGATAGCAAGGTACTGGTTATCGTCGGCTCTGCCGACTAGTAAGCAATGGATGGACTATGTTAATTCGTTACTCCCGCAGGAAAAACACACATACCAACATCGCAATGCTTATCGTAAGTTCCAGCAGGTGTGGCAGGGTTCGCTGGATACACCTGGGCTCGCCCCTCCTCAATTAATAGCGGACTGTCTTTTGCAGGTGTGACATTTTATATCAGGTGTGTAGCTCCACTCCTTCCCTTAGGGGAGATCATGTGCTTCCCCCATTTTCTCTGATCAGATGTCTCGGGTGAACCAAAAGTTGATGTTGTCTTATTTTTATTGATGGTATGTTTTTGGCTTTGTTCCTTTCCCCCATTTATGTTTACATCTGGACGGGGAGGAATAAAAGGTAAAAGGAAAAAGTAAGGTATTGTCAAGAAAGCCTTGCATCCTTGTGTCCTCTGTGTATCCACATTGATCTATTTATGTATGATCCTGTTAATGCAGTAATATCATTGTAGATTCTGTAAGCACTGTTCCATTTTTTTCATTGTCTTGGCAATAAAAGTTGTTTGGATTTAAAAAAAAAAATGTCCTTCAGTCTGTTAACTGGTATTGAATATCTCCTAAACATGTAATAAATATCTCCGAAATGTGCACTGTTTAGGAGATATTCGCTCTTTTTTAGAGCCAGCGCATGTGATCTGCAGGAACAGCATACCCGTGCTGTTCCTTCAGAGTACTGTGCCATGGCCTGGGACTCATACGCACATGCAGGCAGTCAGACAGCCTGAGCTTGTGAACCCAGAAGGAAGACTGGGTGAAGATGGAAGCCTCTGCAGCATTGACAGCGCACCACTGAAGGGCTTTGTTTTAGAGAAAAGTCCTTCATAATGTGCTACTATGCGATGCATACTAGCACATTATGACATTACCTTTCAGGGGATTTTTTTATTTTTTACCTGCAGTTTACTACCGCTTTAAACTTCAATTGGGTTTGCTTCTAATTTTGGAGTCTCTAAGGGGTTTATTTACTAAAGCTAGAGAGAGTCCAAAATCAGACTCCCTTCTGCATAGAAACCAATCAGCTTCTAACCTCAGCTTGTTCAATGAAGCTTTGGCAATGAAACCTGGAAGCTGATTGGTTTCTATGCAGAAGGGAGTCTGATTTTGGACCCTCCAGCTTTAGTAAATAAACCCCTAAATGTCAAAAAGGATCTGCCAAAGCCCATGCAGATCAAATCCAGATAGATCACCTCATCACCACTGAAGATAAATGTTTTTCTTTCCTTAACAAAGTTAGAGGTATAGTTTAGAATTGTAATATTTTTGATCACTATATTTGTAAAATAAAATAAAAAATGTAAGAAGTAATCATACAGTAGTACACAGTCACAAAATAACTGGTTACAGGAGAAGATAAACAGCTAAAAAAAATGTTAGTTTACATATCCGAAAAGGAGTGGGAAGAAGTACAAACTTACTTAATCTCACCCCTTCTCTAAATAAATTATTCAGAGTCCCTTCAGTATAAAGTTAAGCAATAATTAAGATACTAATTACCAATAATCTTGCTTTACAATCATACACACAGACACACGTACACACATATATGCATACATGCACATAAACACCCAGACAAAACTGAAGGTAATACAAAAAAAAAATAAATAACAATAATAATAAACAAACAGTAAACACACAATAATAATTCAAACACCTTCATTCTTGTATCTTGTTAAAATCATCTCTTTGTATTTCTTTTTAAACTGGTTTATGCTTGGACATTTCTTAAGCTCCACATTGAAACTGTACCAAAGCTTCACTCCACAAATAGAAATACAGAAGCTTTAACTAGCTGTCCATGCAGTCATAGTCTTAAAATGTAATGTTCCCGTTAGATTATAACCCCCCTCTTACAATAAATAATTTTTAATATTACCTGGTAATAAATTGCTTTTTGCTTTAAATATTATTTGTGCAGTCTGTAATTGCACCATATCCTTAAAGCTAAGTTTCAGCCCCCGCCACCTCCCAAAAAAAAGTTAAAAGTCAGCTGCTACAAACACTGTGGCTGTTGACTTTTAATAGTAGGGCACTTACCTGTCCATGCATCCAGGTGTGTCCTCACCCCGAGCTGATTGTTCAATCGACTCTCAGGTGCTGGTGCCGCCATCTTGACTAAGGAATTCCTACTGAGCATGCACAAAGCGCTCTGTGTTTTGTGAATGAGCTGCAGTCCTCTGGGACCTTGGAAGTGTCCCAGAGGGCTGAGGGAGGTGCCAAACTTCTAGCTCATTTCGCCGTGGTGAACTGTCAAAACCAGGTACCTGCTCCCCCTCCCCCCCAAAAGGTGCCAAATGTGGCAGCGCAGGGAGGGGGGGGGGGGGTCACAGAAAAGCAGATCTTCCACTTTTGGGTGGAACTCTACTTTAAATTTTAGAAGTTTTAACTGTAAGAATAATGAATTTGTGTTCCCTATATCCTGCCCCATAAATGATCCGTATTGCTTTCTTTTGCAGTGTGACTAATGGATATATTCTATTTATATATTTATTGTCCCAAACCTCTGCACAATAATTGAGATATGGAACTATTTAACAATATAAAATCTGGAGTGATTTATAATTCAAAACCTGCGTTACTTTATTTAATGCTGCTATTCTTTTGGACTGCACATGCTTAATATGTGATTTCCAACAGTTTTGATCATTTGTTTTCACTCCATGAAGTTTAATTTCAGTAACTCTTTTGCTATTAACCCCTTCCATGTGAATATATATTTGTTCTCAAATTGCATAACTCTTGTTTTGTTCAGGTTTAATGATAATTTATTTCTATCAATCCATAATTTCAATTTACTCAGTTCTGTATTAATCAACTGTATTACAGACTACAAACTAGTGGCCAAATTTCACATGCACAGTGCCAGATAACCTGTGCTACTAAAGCGCAGAGTAGATAAGCTGACAGTGTAGATAAGTTGAGTTCCAGTGCCATGCCACGGTTCTTGCCTGTGAGAAGTTCCATTCCAGGCTGGTCAGAGAACAGTTAGAGGATCCTTTAGTGACCTTTGAGCTTGTGTTCAGGTCTCCGACACAAAGACAGACATCTGCAACTGGACTTTGCTGCAACATTTATCTGGATGTATCTTTATTAATAACTCTATACACCCAGATATAAATGCAAAATTCCACCAGGACACTTGAGCCCTTTACTGATAATACCTGTTTGTACACTACATGTATTTCATGTTAATAATCTCTTCTTATATAACGCTAGTACTATTTCTACACCCATGTGCATCTATATGCTTATGGTAATGTTATTTGCCGGTCGCAGTAGTTTTTCTCAACTCAATTGCTTTGTTTTAGATTAATGGTTCATTTTCCAGGAAGAGGAGCCTTGACCTGGGTGGAGGCACTGTCAACTTTATAAGCAAACCTACTCTTCCACTTTGCAAAGGCTCTGATTCTCTTATATACATACAGGTTTTGTGCAGTATCTTGTTTGGTGAGGAGCATTTCTCATAACCCCCCAAAAGAGGGCTACATTTGTATCATACGACCAGTAAAGAGTTAATTTCTCATTTTTGGATAGGTGCCACAGACACTCACACCATAAGGCCCTTCACAGCAGTGCATGCATTTTTATGCATTGAGGCATGTTGCAGTGTGTTGCGCTGGGTGCCCAGTTGAAGTAAATGTTCTACAATGCATTCTAATGCATGAAAAGATAAGACTACTGGTACTTTTTGGCAGTACAGTACACTGAGATGCACATTAGGGGGATTTATAAAAACTGAAATTGCTGTGCATGTCAACCATTTAGTTTCTGTCTTTCATTTTGAAATTTTAACTGCCTCCCGCCCGCCATATAAGGTAACGACGGGCACAAGGCGGTTCTCTCATTCTGGGAGGACATTATATGACGTCCTCCCACTCTAACCGCTCGTGCTCGGCTCTGGGATCGCGCAGCGATCGGTGCTGCACTGTGTCCCTCGGACGCAGCGGATCACCGATCAACAGAAAGAGCCTATCAGTGCCAGTCAGTGCCACCTATCAATGCCAGTCAGTGCCACCTATCAGTGCTGCCAGTCAGTGCCGCCTATCAGTGCACGTCAGTGCTGCCTATCAGTGCCCGTCAGTGCTGCCTATCAGTGCCACCAAACAGTGCAAGCCAGTGCCACCAAACAGTGCCAGTCAGTGCCACCTATCAGTGCCAGTCAATGCCGCCTATCAGTGCCACCTATCAGTGCAGTCTATCAGTGCTATATATGATTGCTGCCTTTCAGTGCCCATCAGTGATGCCTGTCAATGCCCATCAGTGCCACCTACTAGTACCTCCTTATCAGTGCCCTTCAGTGTGTCACCTATCAGTGTCCATCACTGCAGCCTCATTAGTGCACATCAGTGAAGGAGAAAAATCACTTATTTACAAAATTTTATAACAGACTAAGAAAAAAACTTTTTTTTCTCAAAATTTTCAGTTGTTTTTGGTTTGTTTAGCAAAAAATAAAAAACCAAGAGGTGATTAAATACCACCAAAAGAAAGCTCTATCTGTCTCAAAAAAATTATAAAAATTTAATATGGGTACAGTGTTGCATGACCGTGCAATTGTCATTCAAAGTGTGACAGCAAGCTGAAGATAGAAGCTGATTGGTTACTATGCACAGCTGCTCTAAATTTTGTCTGCTACAGTTTTGAATCATTCACTGCCATTGTGTGTTGTGGTGTGCAGCAGTGTGTTGCAGCATAGTTGCATCTGTGTGGTGTATTGAGTGCCATTCACAATAAATGGAACTGCAATGCACCAATGCATGCATGGTGTATAAGGCACATGGTGGGGTTACATGCATATTTTACTGTGCTGTACTGCAAAAGATTTGTGTCAATGGGTCCTTATAACTGTGATTTGCTGTGCAACCACTGCTGGTTTATAGCATAGATGCAGCTCAATTACAGTTTAAATCTATGAGACATGCATACTACTGTCAGCTAAATATGTTCTAAAGCAAGACAAAAACTAACACAGTTAAAATAAGGTGCAAATGGATATCCAATATTCTATACAAGATGACTAAAGCACAAATTAAATACAATACTAATCAGCTACAAGATGCAAATATAAAGTGTTAGCAGGACATATAGACCAGTGAGATATGGCAATATAAACATTCATTATATAGAGCACTCATAATCATTAGTACAGCTTTTCAAAAGTGTTAAAGTGTATCTAAAGCAGAAATGTTTTTAAGGCGGAAGCGTTAGAGCCCCATTTCAGCTTTTTTCATATTTATTTGTGTAAATTCACCCACATAATTTCTTCCGGTCTTTTTGGGGTTGATTTACTAAAGGCAAATTTGCCATTCACTTTGCAAAGGAAGTTGCAGATTGCAGTGGAATTTCCCCCAGCGCTTAATGAATGTGGTAAAACTTTTCTTTGTAAAGTAAACCCAAGCATGTGCAATCAAGAAAAGAATATAAATAAAATTTACTTGAATACAATTGAATGATGGAAGTCAACAGAGCTTCACCTCCCTTGCAAAGTGCAACTTTGCCACTTTGTGTCACTTTGCAAGCGACATTCCACAGAAACCATGATGTATGGATGCCTTCCATTTCAGTCCCCCCTGCCATATTGTTTTCACTGTATAGAGCTGAGCACAAATCTAATATTCTAAATCAGTAGTTGCAGGTTATCATAGTCCTGACAACTCATAGAACATAATTTATTTTACAAGACATTTTGTAGTAAATGAACCAAGTAGGGCAAATTTACAGAAGTAGTGACGTGCCACTTTTTTAATGAAAAGGGTGGTAGAAGGAACCTGTGAACCAGCTACTATGGAAAGGTATACTGCAGTGAAGCTAGTGTGTAATGCACTTACTGTATAGAGGATCACTGCCCTATAACTCTCATAAGAGAGCAAGACTCAAGGGGGTCCTGGTTTTATTTGCTGACAATGGAAGCTGGGAATAAGAGGGAATCTTTACTCCCCGTACTACTACTGCTCTATTAAGGAAGTATGATTTTTTGTTGATTTCAACAAACAGAAAATGTAAAAAAGTAGATGCTCCATATCTTGTTATACGCATGCAATGGGATATTAGAAGAAGATGGAGATACAATCTTGTAAAATCAGGGAGTTTCTGGAGGATTGTTGAGATTCATTGTGACTTGACACTGACTGGTGGATGTTTTTGGTGCCTGTATGCTACAAATTTATTGTAGCCAATCAGGAAATTTTGTAGGTGCGAATAGGGAAAAGTGGTAGTGTAGTGACCCAGTCTGATTAAATGTATTGGAGAGGTTCCAGTAAGAATTTTAGAAGCACCACATGATTGGCATTCCACTGGGCACCTTGAAAAAACCTGAGTTTTCCTTTAAGCCAATTAAGCAAAGAAGCAATTCAACCAAGATGGCACCAAGTACAGACAGTATTGTATGGTTCTGTTCTATTTTGAACAATGCAAAACTAAGTTGAGTTCATTTCTAGCAGTTTCTGTGTGTGAATCACAAGTTATTTTGATGTCATTAAAAAACCTGTTAGTGGTAAAAGGGACGTTATGCTCCACAATGTGCCCAATGAGGACTGGGTGTGAAAGAGGCTTTAGTTTCTGATACAGGTCTGATCTTTGTCTAATATTGCTTTATTTTGTTAGTTTCTAACACTGCATCCACAAAAAATACAACACACCTAAGTAAATAAATAAATAACTTACATATATTACTAAACTGATTTGCCTCCAAAATTTGATCTGTGAAATTGGGAAAAAAGAAGCTATCAGTTAAGATGTACAGGCAGCTAAGGGTACTTACATATGCCTAGAGCAGCATGCAGAACCTCACCTCCCCACAACTTTATACCCAAATACCATTTTGTTCGGGTCTGGGGAAAGCTTCAGCCTTTCTTGTTGGAAGCAAAGCTTACCCTTCCTATTCTACTTATTACACATTTCTATTGGGCAGTGAGGTATAATGATCACAAATAGCAATGTATGGGACACAGTGGAAACTTGGGAAATTTTAACTCTACCTTATGTGTCTGAGCTTTACCTCCTCAGGACATCCCAATGTTTGGGTGTTGCAGGGCACTACAGGCTGATAGCAGTTTTATTTTGTGTCAGCTATCGTTTCTAAAACAGAAACACACATTTTGTCTTTGTACAGAAATGAGGAAAGCAGGTGAACTACCTGTTTATAAGGAAGTATTTTTCTCAGTAATTCCAGCTTTCTTTTGTTTGCAATATTTGCGATTCTATGTTCTGCTATTGTTTGACCTTTTACAAGAATCCTCTATTATTTCTTTAAATACCTTTGTTACAAATGCTTTTTACATCAATCTAGTTTTTACCATAGGCACTAGTAACTTTGCCCTTCCAGTTTTATTGAGGAAGTTAAACATGAAGTAAATACTGCGTATCTTAGGGATTTGACAAAAACAAAGGCATAAACTGACGGGCATTAAAAAAAATCTACAATATCTACATGTTCTGGAGTGTACAGTTTAAACACAGTGAAGTAACATCAAAATTCCCTCTGACTTTAGACCTTGGACCCACCTAAAGGCACCTAAGAAAATTGACATGTGGAGTACATGAATTGTTTATAGTCAAATGTATCAATGCACAGTGTCCATAAAGTTTATCACCTGCTTTGTACTACATTGAGATAAAGTAAATGTCTCAAGGCGAATGAAACATTTATTTTATTAGCTCTGCTGCTCCAGTATGTAAAACTTCCCATCTGGTGGAGTCAGAGACACAGCAGATTTATATTGGCATTGCTACCCAAACTTATATATTTAAAGTCAAGACATGATTCTTCCACCATCCTTCAATTTAGCACTCATTGTCTGAATGGACTATCACTGAGCTCAAGACCTGTCAGGAGAGAGTGTGCCTAAACCGTTTACAAAAGATAATGGATTATACATATGATGAATGGTACCCACCACAGCCTTACACATTACTCAATTTTAAACTACCCATATACAATGGAGGTTAAGCATACCAATGACTGTATATCAATGCCTGCATTTTGGAAAGGAACAGATGATAGTTATCGGTGTCAGAAAAAAACACCCAAGGTGAAGCTGCTCCCTTCCATCCCAGATGACAATGGTGGTGTTTAAATTTCTGCTTGTACAGTAAAATGACTGTTGCTGTCTGCTTGTCCTACATTACTGCCATTTGGTCCATGGGATACTAAACAACATGAGGGGAAAGCCTGTGTTCTGGCTATATGGAAGCAGCAGTCGCCCTCAACCTTAGCCCAATGGCTCGCCAGAGTGATATTGAGAGCATGGAGCATCTGACCTCTGATATTCGGGGAAAATCGGAGGAACATCAGACCAGGTAGTTCTACTGGGAATAGCTTTGTTTCTCTGATGACTACTCTCAAAAAACCTGAATTGTTGTCCTACTATTCTTGCCTCTGTGGATATATCCAACTTCACATCATTCGCAACCTCTGCTGATCTCATCCCTAGTCTCTAGATGTTCCTCCATGAGAGAGACAATCTTCACTTTTTTGAATATACGTTCGCTTTAACTGCAAATTACAGACAAGAAGTTATTCTAGTAAATACTGAACCATGGAGAATACATTGTATAGGCAATGGAATACCCAATATTGGAGCTTTTTAAGTTCAAGGCATCACTTTCAGCCAAGTGAATTCTAAATTTAAAGATACACTTCTTGGGACAAATTTTAAATAAAAATGCATAAGCTTCCATGTTAACAAGAACATCCATTTCTTGGGTTGACCACGTTCCCAACAGCTAGAAGCTTGGCAATTTGATGTTTCTCTCTATGAGGTAAATATGATATTGTAGATTTGAACAACCAACTGGGTTTCTACAGGTATGATTAAATTATATATAATAATCTTCCAGCATCTGTGATATCCTCAAAAACTTTTTATATACGTGCTCTCAGATATAATCCACCTTCATATAGGTGAGCACAGACAAAGCACACATGTGACAGGGATCAGGAACAGCACTGCAGCAAGGAGGAGAGCTTGTTCTTTTGAAAAACAACAGACTTACGGGCTGGATCACCAGATGAAAATAAAGGAAAGAAAGCCTAAAAAAGAAATCTAATAGAGCCAGCACATCTAAGAATTGAGTGAGCTGAGCAGGGATGGTCGGATGAGGAGAGTTTTTTTCATGCTTTTTAAAGTGTTTTATCTGGTAAGGTGCATGGTGTGTAAGGTGACGGGGAGTGTATTTCACATTTTACACGTGTACCGAGAATATTAGGGAAGCACATTTTTTTCTATCCAAAGTATATTGCATATTATAGAATATTGGTAGAATATTGGTTATTTTTGAGGAAATATTGAAGAAAGAAAAGATGGATTGGAACACGGTTTTGGAGTATATGATATTGAGAGCTTTAAACAAGTTTTGATAGGGTAAGGGTGTTTAGTACAGCCATTTAGATGTGGACACTAAGTGGGGTGGCACGTCAGTAACCACAGGGTGATTATATTTTTTT